GTTGCTTTCAAAAACAAATTGAACCAAAACATAAAATTATATTAGGGAAATATTATTTTCTTTGTAAATTAAACACTGGGATGTTAAGTTTAAACTGTTTAATTTATTTATGCTTACTAATTCTTTTCAGTGCTATGTAACTGTGAGATCACTGTGCACACAGACATTAAATCCATTTAAGTAATTTATTTTCTGTCTTTCTTGAAGCAGTTTTCTCAGTAAGAAACCCTTTGATTTTTCAAATAGATGCATTAGTGATTAGTGGAGAAGCCTGAAATAGAATAAATATTTATTACCTGTTATATAGTTTATATTATTAGAAGGCAATTTTTTAATGTAGGTTATACTTTTTTATTAGACCGTGAATTCCCTATCCTTTGGAATCTTTGTATCTTAGATTTAAGCAGATCTGCTTAAATTTTTTGATTTTTAGCACCTCCCCCTCCTCCCTATGTGCCTGTTTCAGTTATTTGCTCTTCCTCTGGAAGCATATTTGCACTGCCAAGCATAGTTATTCCTGGGTTTGTTTGGTTTTTTTTCAGAATTAGGACCTTCCGAACTTCTCTGGTTACATCTTGTATTTCTTGGCATCTGCATTGAATTTGCCAAATGAGCTTGGTCAATTTTTTTTTGTATTCTTAGTCTGTCCAAAAAGAAATTCTTTATTTCAGCATGATGGATGGGGAGGGGAGAATAATCGTGCTTGTATCATCCCCTCTGTTTCAAACTGGAATATAGGAATATAGGTAAGAGATTCTGTGTAGTGGCAGGTTTGGCTCCATCCTTAACGTGGTCATTGTGTGAAGCTTGGGGCCATTTGTGTTTCTCCTCAGATTGGTCCTTTGGAAGAAAGAAATAAATACACAGGTAAAAGGGAATAAAAGGGGGGAAGAAAGTGAAGAGCAGAAGGGGAAATCAATGGGGAAAAATAAATAGATAGGGTAAAGGAAATAAATAGCAAAAAGTGAGTAAACAGTAGCAAGCAAATAAATAGCAACAAGCGAATGAACAGTGGGATGCTCTGTGCACCGAGAGGCAGCGGTGCAAGTTGAGAGCGAAAGGCAGGTCCCCGGCAGCTCCCAGCCCTGCCCGGCCTTTCCCGTGCCCAGGCGCAGCTGCTCCAGCGCCGCTCCCGCCTGGCAAATGGGAATTTTTGGCCCCCGGGGCCCCCGCAGCTCCCCGGTCCCGCGGCTCTCCCGCAGCCGGCGGGCTGTGGAGCGGGAGCAGCGTCTGCTCTGCGGGGCTGTGGCGGCGGCAGATTCACATGACTAATGCTGCGAGAGATAGCAGGAGCGCTTTTTTTTTTTTTTTTTTTTTTTTTTTTTTGAGCAGCTCCAGTCTGTGCACAGTTGGCTCCCAGCTGACAGACAGAATGTGGGGTGGGCTTTGTCACCAGAACGCTGGGTACTGCATGCCCAGTTATGCTCGCAATTCCACAGTGCCCAGAAACCTGCTGCTTATGTCAGGGTGCAGCCAGCCTGAACACATAGAAATTGGGTAGCTCGATTGTTTTTCTTTACTTTCAATTTTTAAATTTTTCTTTTTTTTTATTTTTTTAAATTTTTTTGCCTCTTTCATCCCTGCAAAGGTTATATAATGAGGGGATTGCTGCTAAAGTAAAAAGGGAAAATGAAGTCTTTGTTAAATGCCTTCACAAAGAAAGAAGGTAAGCGATGAAAGCAGAACACTTTGATGTTTCAGACTGGTGTTTTCTTGTGTACATTTAATATGATGGGCTTAGTGACTCTGTAATTAATCAATTCCTGCAATTTCTTTTTTCAAAATTATTTAATGTTAGTCAGTCCATTTAGGCAAGTGGTTATTAAAGCTGGATGTGACTTTATTCCTTTTAGGATTTTCTCTGGAGAACCAAGTAGTTATAAAAATGCTTTTGTTCCCTAAGAAATGCGTTTGGAGACACGGAAGCATTTTCCTGGTGAATTTTGTCAGTGAATGGTGCTGAATTGCCCCTTCAGATGTATGAAGTGCCAGGAATAGAATTCAGAGAGCAGGAGGAAGGAATATGTGGTACTTTCAAGTATGCTTTTAGGGATGATAAATTTAAACTTTTGGGGGCATGGAATTAGTTCAGGCATTTTCATGTCATTTTATATCAAGTGTTTTTTCCCAAACAAGTTTTGCCACAGTTATTCTTGCAGTTCTGAAACGTGGTGAAATATTAGGGAAAAACAGAGTCCAACAGGGACTGAAGCATGGACATTTGCATTTCATAATTTTATGTTGTAGTTCTGTTTTTTAATTGTGAAAATAATGTAAATAATGCTGATAAGAAGCAGCTAAAAAAATATCCACCCACTTACAGTTTGCAGATTGCTGGGGGAAAGAAACAGTTGGGTGGAATATTAATCACTTCAGGCACAGAAATGCTTATTTTTAACTCTTTCTATAAAAGATTTGTGTTAGACATGCATCAATTAGTGTCATTAGTTGTCCCCTTCCCTGTTTATTTCCTGTAGTAAAAGCTGATTTTGCTTGTAGTTTTCTTCTGAAGAAACGGACATTTATAGCAAAACAAAAGCTAAACTCTTAAATGGACTTATAAAATGTTCCTGAGGTGTGTAAGATAAAAAGAATTTCTTTCCTCTGGTGCCTGGGAGGGTGGTTTCTCCAATCTGTTAGTACAGATGTGCCCTGCAGCTCTCTGTCCGTGCTGTCACTGTGCCCAAGGCACCCTGTCCTTGTCCTTCCTCCCCCTCTCACCAGCAGAGATCCCACCAGCCTCTCCAGAGTCCCAGCAAACATCCCCAAAATGCTGGCAAGATTTTGTTTTCTCAGCCTGTGGCTGGAAGGGCTGGGGAGGCTGCTTTCAGGTTCATGAGAAATTAAAATCTGAGGGTCAGACTCAATTTTTACTGAATCCAAGGCAAACTTTGGTGACCTGGGGGAGCAGCATTAGACCTTCAGGTAGCAAACCCGCGTGTGCCAAACATCCCCTGTATTCAGTTTGTATGTTTTCTCTTTGATTGAATTCTGCTTTGTTATATCTGGGGAAGATCCCCATCTTCAGTGAAGTAATTTCTGGAGCTGTATTCCAAGTGTCAAAAATAAAGGAATGTAAAACTGTTGCACCTCTGCCCCAAACATTGACCTAAGGGTCTGTATGTGCCAGTTTTGGAGATAAATGCTGTGAGTTTGCTGTAAGGTAGCACTAACTGGGGCTTTCACTGTGACATCTGAAGGACCAGGGTGCTCTCCTGACACCCCCAGCTGCTTTGAAACCTTAAAGAAATATGGAATGGGAAAAATTTGAAATGTCAGGAAAATTGTCCAGAGATTCTGCCAGTTTCCAGTAAAAGCATTGGACTTCTACACTTTCTCTCCTTTAACAGCTTTTAGGGGCTATTTCCCTTATTTCAGAGGAAACATGGAAATGAATTGAGACCCTTTCTGTGCATGCTGTTCCCATGTTTGGTTGTTCTGATGTTGTTGAGTTGTTTACTAGAGAAAGTTTCATCTCACTGGAAATACAAAAGATGTTATTGTAAAATATTCAGAATTGTAGCTATTAATAAACTGACTGGTGAAAATGATACAAACCATTATTTTACTTGCAGTTCCATCTCTATTTCATGCTATAAATATGCTCTCAGTTTTGCACTGAAACCTTAAATTTTGCTTTGTTCTCTCAATTAAAGGCTCTATTTCAAGGCAGGACAGATTGATTCTTATCTATATTCATAGTTATGTGAATTTATTTATTTGCACAGTATGACAGACATTCTTATTCTGGGTTTTGTGTGGTTTTGAGGGGTATTGAATGAGTAGACATTTCTGGCTCTTTAGAAATGGCACTTATGGCACTTTAGACATGTAGGATGATATTTTGTGGGACTTCTTTCCCAATTTAAATATGATATTTTTCTTTGAGAATTACAACATCTCAGTGAAGCTCTCAGGATAATGCCTTTTGTTAGTTATGCCGCTGTGACTTTTCAGATGTAAATCTGTGCACTTTGGCTCAGGTCTTGTGACCCCCACAAGCTCCACGAGAGAAATTAATGAGGGCAGTTGCAATAACGGAGATCAAGGCCAGCATGAGGTTTTGGGGTCAATTCCTTTATGACAGGGCAGGAAATTCCATCACATCTTGTGGTAACTGGTTGGTTTTTTATTAGGGAATTTGCCTTCTAAGTTGCACTTGGGACAAACTGACCCACTAGAGTGGGAAAAGGAGATGTGGAAAACTGTGTGAATGCTGTTTTGTACCAGGAGCACACATGGAGGGCTGGACCCTCTGCTCTGAGTTAGATTTGTGTTACCCTTGATTTGTTTTGTGTTGTGGCTCTTTCATTAAGGAGTTTCTTGGAACCTTTGGATACTGTGGTGTTCCCTCTGGGATGCGGCAGGGGATGGAACCAATGTATTACCCTGGGGTAATCTGCTCTATATACCATAGTAATGGATGTGGTAGGAATGCCAGGATTAGAAAGAGGGGAATGCCTGGGGATTGCAGCAGTGTAATAGAGTTCTGCTAGGACAGGAAGTTGTGTCCTCGATTTTTAACCTGTGAGATGGGGATAAGGTGACTGTTCACAGATTTCAGGTTAGACCTGAACTTGAGGTAAACCAGTTTGGGTGCCAGCTGGGGCATGGAAGCTGCAAGTTCATGCGTCAGGAATTCTGCTGGGCAGCCCTGTTCTGTGCCTTTCTGACTGAAAGTGACAACACAGCAGGAGCATGAACTTTCTGAGCCTCGAACTTGGAAATAATGAGGTGTTACCCATTTCTTAGAGCACAGTTCAGAGTGTTCATCAGTCTCATGGCACTTTTGTTGCCATACCATTTCAAGCTGGCAAACAGGTTAATGTTGCTCTGTTGTTTTTGAGTTAATGATGTTCTAAAGATAATTTGATCAGCTCTGCTGGCAAGGTGGAGTTTCTGTCTCTGCAGAAGAAACAATGCCATATGTTGCATGTGGTGGTAAACACACATGAAAGTGAAATCATCTGAGATCACCCTCCATGTCTCTCTTTGCACAGTGCCCTTTAGGGAGGCTCCCACCTACTCCAACAGGAGGAGGAGGCCTCCCAGTACCTTGGCAGCCCCCCGGATCCTGCTTCGCTCCAACAGCGACAACAACCTGAACATCAACAACCTCCCCGAGTGGTCGGCCTCCTCCTCTGCCTCTTCACACCGCAGCCTTTCCCCTCACCTGCTCCAACAGATGCAGAATAATCCCAATGGAACTGTAAAAACTGTGGGGAGTTACACACCGTCCTCCCGGAGCCGCTCGCCGTCCCTCAACAGGCTGGGAGAGGATGCCAAGAGGCAGCAGCACAGGCACATCAGGTGAGTTTTGGCTGTTTCACAGCACAAGGTACCCCTAATGGCACCATGCTGGCCTTCCACATTCCTTTATGTTATTTGCACTCTCTAGAATGTATAGTTATTCATTCTCAGCACAGTGGACCATACCCAAGTGTGAATATTTTAATTGGAAGCATGAAAGCCAGTTGTTTCCTCACAATGCTCCAGCAGCCAGGCAGACTTTCAGGTTCAGCAGTGACTTAACACAGAGTTAGCACCTCCAGCTCAAGGTGCTGGCTCTGCACATCTTCCCATAGTTGAAATAAGGATCATATTTAACAGCAAAGCAAAGTGTTTCTGGGATTCCTGGTCCCTTCACAGAACTATTGCTCATGCCTGGAACCTATGTTGGAGCTGCTCATGGGTGATGTAGCAGAGGCTGTTTAAGTTCTCGCTTCTGTAGGTGTGTGCTGAAGCAAAGAGTGAAATAGAGGGAGTAATGTGATCTAGAAGGCATTCTGGGAAAATACCCTGCAGCTCTGTCCCGCTGGAGAGCAAATCTTGACTAATTAGCATCATGTAGGTATTGTAAATCATGGAATAAAGTGGAGGGCTGGGGATAAGTTTTGATCACAGCTGGGGGCTGCAACTTTGAGAAGCCACTGCCCTGGACACAGGAACTTCTGTTAAATGTTAAAGAGATGGAGCTGTGCCAAGACAAGGGGTTTAAGTGCTGCAAAAATGCAGGGAGGCATCAAAGCTGAGCACTGCTGGAGCTCACACATTTTGGCCAAATACATTTAACTCAGTACTCACTTGAAAATCAGTCTATGTCTATCCTGTTTCCTAATATATATCTGTCAGAATAGAAAAGGACCTGTCAAGAATTGCAGCTGTTGGTTTCTTTTTGCTGTTTGTAGGTGTAAGAGATGTTCAGTGGAGTTTTCAAGTCAGAAAAACAAAATGTCATGTAGCTGACACTGTCTCTGTTACCTTGCCTGTTCCTCTGCTCTCTCTGGCCCTAGGCACACAGACTGCCAGGCACTGCTTGTGATGAAAACAATACTGCTGGACAGTGGAGATCTGGTGAATTGTGAGACAAAGTTGCTTGGAATGTAATAAGGAGTGAAATTAAAGTGAAGGAAGGGGATACAGATTTCATATGCCAGTGGTTTCATGCAGCAAAGCAAGCTCATCTTGCTTTGTCATATGTTATAATAGTGGCAAAAGCTAATTTGGGTGTAATTTGGGTGGCATTTACTCACAGAGCCCAGTATCAACTTAAGATCAGTCTGTAATGAGGCTTCAACTGGATGAGGAGTTGAAGTCAGGAGGCTGTAAGGTTCTTTTCAGAGAGTGAGTGTTCTTGTGTTCCACTGGATTCCGCTGATGGCGCCAGAGAGGGAGGTTCTACCTTAGAGTCAGTGATTATAATAGACAAATGGGATAAAAAGTGCCTTTTCATCAATGTTCCTGGGATAACACTATTCAAATTCTAGAAGTATAAACAATCATTTGAGCTGGGGATTACAATTAGAAATTTTTTTTTGGACTAAGCAAACATTTACTTGCTTTGACTTTGTTCAACTGCTTTCCTCTTCTCTTTTTGAAAGGTAGCTCAGGTGATAGTGGGAGCCAATTTAATGCCTGAGAGCTTGTGGATATAAAATTTTGTTCTTTCTCTTAGTGCATCAGCATCGCAGCTACTGAAACTGCTGCCAACTGCACAGTTCCCTCTGTGCCACCAAGACTTGTTTCAGAGAAGTCCAGAGTACAAGCAAGTACTCAGAAGAGAGCTGGAGGCTCTCTAAATTTAAAGACAACTAAAAAGATTTTATATATAATTTTTCCTGAAAATAATACATTTTCTTGTCACAGGCCCATTTTGCAGTCAGGAATGACACCTTACATGACACTTTCCTCACAGATTTTGTTTAACTGTGTGACCACCTACTTACTGTCAGTTAAATGTGGGAATTGTTGCTGTCTCTGCTTAATATTTGCAAATAATAACAGTTACCATGAAGCTGTTGCTCCCCTGAGATGGAAAAGCCATTTTTGACAGAGTAGGAAGTTGGGTTGTGATTCAGAAGCAGCCAGAAGGGGCAGGGTGATGGAGAAGGTCAGACTGTGACAAAGGGTTAATGAGGTTTGTGGGATTTGTGTTGTGGAGAGGTGCTGGAAAGCAATGCTGCGAGGGTTCATGTGACCTTTGCAGCCCCTGTGGCTCAGGTGGCTTTGTCTTCTCAAACTGAAAGAGGAGAGATTTAGATTGGATATTAGGAAGAAATTCTTTCCTGAGAGGGTGGCAAATCACTGGAACAGGCTTCTCAGCTGCCCTGTCCCTGGAAGTGTCCAAGGCCAGACTGAAACAACCTGGTCCAGTGGAAGGTGTTCCTGCCCAAGGCAGGGGGTGGCACTGGATGGCCTTAAAAGTCCCTTCCAAGCCAAACTTTCTTCACTCTCATGAGGCTGTTGCTTTCCACAGCAAAGTGGTTGGGGTGAGGGAGGGGAGCTGTGAATGCAAGGGAAAGGACAGCCCTCATGTGGAACTTACCCCACAGAAATCAGTGAATGAAGTGCCAACACTTCAGCCAGGGCTGAACTGCCAAGGATGGCCACCTTCTTCTGGCTGAGAGGAAACATGTCCACACCTCTCCTGAAATCTCTGCATCCTCCTCCTGCTCCTTCCTGGCACTTGCTGGGCTTGGAGCCCACGCTGGGGACAAGCAAGGGAGAGGAAAGATCTCTTTTTATAAAGCCCTGCACCCCACGTTGCAGCCCTGATTTCCATTAGTGAGCCTGTTGCCTGAGAAGTTCTGCATTCCTTGTGTGGGTTTAATGTGCCATTTCCCTTTTCTCTTTCAGTGAGAGAGAAAATGAATGTATCTGCTGTGCTCAAAGTTAAAGTAGATGCTGGGAGATAACACTGGGAATAGCTGCTACCAGGCTAGGCAGAAACACAGCTTGATACAAGTGGAAATCAGATGTGTAGCTATAGTTTATAGATCTGGATTTTTTTTTTATGGTGATGACTGTTCCTTCACTTACAAGGAGAAAAGGAATGGAGCAAAAGAACTGAAATCTGAACGTCATCATTCCCAGGCTTCTTTAAACAACTGTGAGAGTTGGCTGAGGTTTCTGGTGCAAACTCCATCACAGACATGCAACCAGAGATTGCTTTTAAACTCCTGAATGTGGCTTACCATTAGCAGCACCCCTTCACAGTAATGGAGCAGAACAAGGTGAAAGGGGCATGCAATTCCAAATGGTGAAGAAGTTACTGCAGGAGATGGGAGTGTTCCAGATAGAAAGATCCACTAGGTGTGGGTTTTTACTAGACTTCTGTACTTATTGACTTACTGGTCCCTTTTTGGTAGGAGACTGGTTTTAAAACCAGAAAAAACCCAAAAAAACCCCAAAAAAACCCCAAACAAAAAAAAAAAAAAAAAAGAAAAAAGGTGAAAACCCAGCCCTTGTATTTAATTTTGCTTAAAGCAGTTTCGGATACTTTCTTATACAAAGTCAAGCAGAGTGTTAAAATGCTAAACCACCACTAAATCACCCTCTTCCTTTCGTAGGGGAAGAACTTTTCCCTATTAATCTCTATTAATATTATTCCTTCTCATGAATATTTTATTTTTCTAGACTTTGGTTAAGACTGCAAGTTTTTATGCTTTGGTTTTTTTTTTAAGTTGACTGCTAGTGTATTGCCAGTTTGTTGTGATATATCCTATGGGTTTCCCACCTTCTTTAATATTTGACTCTTTCTATTTTCATATCTTTTTGACAGTTCACTCATTTTCCCACAGGCTTAAGAGTGATCTTAGGCATTGTTCAACACCTTTCAACAGCTCCTTTTTTATACACCATGAGTAGACTGTGAGTTGATGGTGACCTTTGGCTTTCCTAGGCACATCCTGTAGTCACTGAGTGAGCTGTTGATTGCCATCCAGAGGAATGATCATTTGGAAAATGTTAACCACAAGCATCAGGCTTTATGCAGATCTAAATTTAACCTTGGGCATGGGAGTGATGAAGTAACTTGGTTATTCAGTCAATTTAATTAATAATTCAGTGATCTCACTGACTTGGTGTTACAAAACTACTTTGTTGACTCTGTGTTACAAGGATATCCATTGCCAAGAATTGTAAACACAGACATTTTCAAGTCACTCTGACAAACTGACATGATGGGAATGTATGATGGGCATATAAATTTTGAATTTAATTAGGGCCTGGGAATGTGCAAGTTTAATTTGCAGAAAAACTAAAAGCTTTAATGTTGTGTGTTTTCTATTCTAGGCCATTATGGTCAGGTGAATATTGATCATGTTTCATATTGAAAAATTTCAGCCCTTAAAAGCTCCTGTTTGGTATTTTTTCTGCAGGATTAGATGTTTTATTGGGAGACAGTTTTGTTATTCACTGCTTAATTTAATCCTCCTAATGTGATGGTAAATGATTAACTTTCCCCTTTTGAATAAGCTGTTAATGATTTTTCATTTCAATTTCTAGTGCCGTTTACAGTCCCAGTGCCAACAAGGATACTCTGTCTGCCTTGGATTATCAGGGTCCCAAAAGGAAGCTCTACAGTGCTGTCCCTGGGAGACTTTTTATTGTTGTAAAGCCATATCAACCTCAAGGGGAAGGGGAAATTCACCTGCACAAAGGAGATAGAGTCAAAGGTGAGCACCTAATTCATTTGGAATAAGCCTTTTTTCTTGCTAGGTGGGAATTTTATGTTAAAATTCTCTTTTGCAAGGCTGGAAATAATCCGTATGGTGAAAGTGCTTTTATGCATTTGTTTCTTTGCAGGGCATTTTGCTCCTGGCTCTGTTTCATAACCAACACATATTTAGATACCGCTTTAACTGACTTCCAAGTGTTACCTGCCACAACCCACAACTCTGTGCAGTAATAGCACCATTGTCTCTTACCTAGGGCACAGAATTTGCTGTTGGAGCCGTTCCAGAGGCACCACTCCAGGGCTTTAAGGGTTGTAAATATGTCAGCTATCTAAACAGCTCAGGAAGGGAATTGGGGTAAAGTCGGCTCTGCTTCAGGCTCTTTCCTCAAGGAACATTTAATTGGTTAAGTAGAAAATGTCCCCTCACAGGACTCGGGATAAGTGGGTAGGGAGAACCTCCTGTAAATTTAATTTTGGAGGAAGCGTGGTGGTGCATGTGAAATTTCTGTTCACTGTTGCACTTCCTTGCTAAGACCAGGTTTAAATCAAGGCCAAGCTTTGTTATTGCTTTGAAAGCAGTAAATTCATCCAGATACAGCCGAAAAAAGGGGAGATAGGGTGGTACAGGACTTGCCTTCCCCAGAGTGAGGTGTTAGGCTGTGGTTTTGCACATTCAGCTGAAACAGAAAAAAAGAGACTTTGTGTTGGACCCATACAAATCAAACAACAGTTAGGGAAATCAAACAAAATGGAGTAAATTCAGTGTCCTAAATAAAAGTGTTAAGCAGCTGCAAATTTTCTTGTGAAGGGAACTACTTATCTCACAAAGGAAAACTTCAAATACCTCCTCCCTTGAGCCTGCAAACAGTAGCTGGAAGAAAAAAAATAGGGAGCCATTAGAAGGTAGTTTTGCATTTTTATTTTTGGATGTACTGATTCTGAAGCATTTGTGGGTTTAATAATTTTTGTCAACTCTAGCCCTCAGAAGGTGTAGGACAGAAATCTGAAGGGTGCTGCACTTAAAGGTAAAACATGCAAAGATAATTTTAACTGCAGCTTAAATTAATTTATAAGTTAATTTTAAATTTTAAAGACAAAGGGAGAAGGTTAAACTTAGAGTCTGTAGGGCTGAAAAGATAATTTTGCAGTTCTCAAGGTTGTTCCCTGATCAGGTAGGAAGCAGTGATTATGATCTCATGGTGCACAAGAACTAGGATGAAGTTTGGGGAGTACTAAATAACTTCCTCCACTCTGTGTTCACAGACATCTGACAGGTGTCAGTGGACAAGAAATGAGTGGCTGTTCCATGGCAGGTGCTGGACACAGAGATGTTCAATTGTGCTGTTGGATTTAAGGATGCAGGAACATTTTGTTTATGTAGAGGACTGAATATCAACAACACAGGTTCTTCTCATGAGGATAAGACAACTCTGGGCAGCTTTGGGAAAAGACAAGACAGAAATCGTGTTTCCTGGCAAAAGAGGAAACACTGCAACAGGTTGCCTGGAATGCTGAGTATTTTAGAGGCATTCACTACCTGGCAGATGGTTTACATTAGGTTTCGAAACTATTCTATGCAAAAATAATCCCAGAATAAAGGACTTAAGTTTCAATGAAGTGTTTAATGTTTTTGAAAAATTAATTCAGGAGCCCTTGGTTCTAAGTTATTATAACAGTCACTGGAAAATATTGCAGGAAGGAATTAGTCCACTTCTCATATTTTCATATAATGATGTAGTCTAAATGTGAGACCAATGATCTTGGGGACCAATCTAAATACTGAAATTAAAAATGGAATTATGGCTGAGGTTTTTCTTTGTGGGGAAAATGTCAGTTTATTGAAAACAATACATTAATTATTATTGTCATTAAAAGGGGGATGTGCCCATCACACATCAAATAATTTCTGCAGGGATTATTTTTTCAGCTTCAAGAATCTGATTTGCACATAGAATTGAAATATGGCAGAGTTTTTCTAGGTCCATTTGTTTTAAAGCATTTTAGAGAACTTTGCTACAGCAAAGTCTGGCGAGGTTTCCATACTTGTCAGCCTGCTTTTGGAGAGGATTTGGGAGAAGAACAAGTGAACATGGGGATTGTCAGTGTTACTCCTAAGGATGAAACCTTGTGAAATGTAATTTAAGGCTGTTTGCATGGCAGAGCTGGAACAGTGTGTGACAGGCTCCCAGAGCTAATCAAAGGGAAAACTTCCAGAACAAGATCAAATCCTATTTCGTGTTACCATGTCAATGGTTTCTCAGCTGCAGCAAAAAATATGTCAGAATGAACACGGCAAGGTCATGGAGAGAACAAAGAGTGCAGGGGAAAAAACAGTGGTGCTTTAAAGAGGTCTCCGTTGTGTAACAGTATTAAAGAAACTGCTCAAACTTTTTGTGCCAAAAATCCAGGTCCAATTAAATCTGGATTCCCGTCCCTGTTTCAGTCAAAATGTAATTATTGCTAGAGAATAAGTGTAGTGGTAGGACAAGAAGCAATGGCTTTGAACTGAAAGATGGTGGATTTAGACTAGATTTGGGGAAGAAATTCTTCATTGGAAGGAGGTGAAGCCCTGGCAAAGGTGGCCCAGAGAAGCTGTGGCTGCCCCATCCCTGGAAGTGTCCACGCCCAGGCTGGACGGAGCTTGGAGCAATCTGAGATAGTGGAAGGTGTCCCTTTCACTGCAAGAAGGTTGGAACAAGATGATCTTGAAGGTCCCTTCCAACCTAAACTATTCCAGGATTCTGTTATGTTTAAAAAAATTACTCCATGTGAGCAGGATGGGCTCCTTCTCCATCCTCCAAAAGGACATGCAGTAGAACTCGGAGTCCTAAGTGCTGTGGGAGTGCCAGAACTGCTGACTATAAGGAGATCCTGCTTTTTTTCCTCTCTCTGAGCAGGAATTCTTGGTACTGGATGTATTTTATGTCTTTTACAGACTCACTTAGCAAGACCATGGCCCAGTCAGCCTGTTTGGGTTTAGTGACTTACTCTGTGCAGTGTTTGGAGGAAGTGGGAGAATATTAAACCCCATGGAATTCAATTTTCCCTTCACTCTGAAGACAGCCTCACTGAGAAAGGGAAAAGCTTTGTCTTGCTCCCTCTCCTCTGCCAGCTTGGCGACTGCACTGTTCTGTATAAGACACTGATGCCCAAGTCCTGGCCCTTGGGTTGCTTTGGGGAACTCAAACATGGCCTGGCATTGGCTGTGGGATTATGCCCTGTGTTCAGCCTGATGCCAGGGAGATGCTTATCACGAGTACATCCCATGAGACTAATCACAGCAAAGATGTAGCAAGGCATTTATTGTAGGGATAAAAACCCAGAACAACATATTAGAGAAAGGGATTACTTGGGAAATGTTTTTATGGATTTTCTTTTTTAACTTGGCAGAATTAGAAGGGTCACGGAGAGGGATGAATTCCTAAACTCTTGATGAAAAGTGTTTTCATCAGATGGAGATGAAGCAGGGTTGTGTTTTTTTTCTTTCTAAAACTGGTAGAAAAGCATGAGTGACAATAGTCCACAGTGTGTGATATAAAGAAACTGCTTAGAGAAATCTGTGAATGGGCAAGGTTCAAAGAAAATGTAAACTAAACAAAATGGTCTTGTATTAATAGGATATTACGTAGCCTGTACAAAAATACCTGCTATATTTTTAGTTGTTAGTCATACACACTGACATCATTTGTGTGTCTGCCACTCATGAGAGAAGAGCCATGGCTGCTTGCAAAAATAAATCTGATATCTTTATTTATACCAGAACTGCCCTAATCTTATGTTTTCACATAAATGAAGGAGAGCTAGTTTGATTCCTCACTGGAACACTTCTAATATTTTGTTTTTATATATCTTGTTTCTTTCTTCCTTCTGTATCTAAAAGTCCATAGCAATAAGTCTGCCATAATCCAAATGCACACAAACATGTATAAAATATCTGTAAAATTAATTTGAATCAGGTTTTGTGTTCCTAAATTGAACTCTTGCACTGTAAATCAAGTGATCTCTTTGACAGAAAAACTCAGAGAATGCAATACTCAAAAAATTCTTTGTGAGCAAATTAGCAGTTTTCTTGGCTATGAAGATAAAGCAATAGAGAAGATTTTTGGGAAGGTAACAGGTCTGAGTTCCAGGTGTAGACATGCTCTGGTCACTTGAAAACTAAACAATCAGAATTGTTTTCAGCATCTGGGTTATATTAAAAAATACCTAAAATGCACATCCTTCACTGACTTAGAAAGAAAAAACCTGATTCAAATACTTTAAGAACTTTTGAAGTCTCACTCTGCTCACAGCTTTGTTTTTCATGGTCTCCCCAGATCCTTCTTTTTTCTAGGCTCACCCCCCGCCCCAACTCTCTCAGCCTTTTCTGGTGCCCAGTGTCTGGAAAAACAGGGAGTTATTTCAGTATCTCAAATATGCTCCAACAGACTTTTCCATGAGCCCTCCGAGATTCCTCCGGTGCAGGCACAGTGTGCACATCACAGAAGGGTTGTGGTAAACCCAAATTCAGCTCTCAGCTCCATTCCTCGGGGTCAGAGGAGCAGGAGCAACTCAGTAGCAGCAGCTCAAGCATCTGCTCTGGGCAGGAAGTCAGTAGTTCTGTGCATCAGAAATATTGACCCTTGTGACTCTGCTTTTATTTCAGTGTGATCTCAGCCAGCAGGGCAATCCAAATATATCACTAACATTTTCATTTCTTGTGAAATCCACTTGTAAGTCATTTTGAAGAAGAAAGATTATTAAACCCCTGCTGTGCTCAAAGATGCTGCCAACAGACAGTGCTTGTGGGCAGGAGAAAAGTTGGTCTCCCGGGCTTTTGCACTTGTTAGATTAGTAAACAAAATCCTGGGAAGGGAAGAGCCTCAGAAAGGCTGTTCAGTTTCTTCAAGAGCATTTTGTACCTTGTGTGGCTAAGTGTGGCAGCAAAATTGAACTTAAGAAGTTTGCAAGGTATTGTTCAGCTGCTCTTTCACACGGAGGATGAAATGAATGTGAAAT